TAATAAAACGTCGAATCCTCGGGGCCGCGGGTCCCTCGTGTGTCAGCCACGCGCACCGCTACGCAGCGCGGTCAGAACCCCCATAATGGATGCACGAGGCGCGGCTCGTTTCCTTTTCTCTCGACATATTTCTTTTTTCCGCTCCTTCTCTACACGGACCTCTGCCCCTCTCCCACTTTCTCGCACCCTCTCTCCCTTGGCCCTTGCGTGCTCGCCATTATGGGCACCCGGAATCCACCGGCACGACGGAATATAAGGCAAAGGGGTGAAGCCGAACGCGAATCGCAGAAACGTGGGAACCGTCGCCAGGTGATCCTTCGCCGTAAGCTCGTAAGCGTCGTGCAGGCACGACGAACTTCTCTGCAAGCCGAGACTGCGAAAGACGACGACCGCGCTCCCCGGAAAGGGGTACGCGAGAATGGGGCGGCCCTCTCTCTCTCTCTCTCTCTCTCTCTCTCTCTCTCTCTCTCTCTCTCTCTCTCGGGAGTCTTCCGGGGGCGCTTACGTCAAGGGGGTGAGAGATGGGGGATGCATTCTGCGTCGAGTGCTGGCGCGCGAGTGTAAGTGTGCCGCCGCGCGGCGACGTTGAGACCGCCGAGCGTGTTGCAACTTTGAGCGATTCTTCTCGTAAACGGAGGGAGGGAAAAAAGGAATATCGTATCGTTCGCGGCAGCCTACCGCGTACATTAATTACGGTCATCGGAGCTCGTGGGAGAACATTATTGCTGCGAAGATTGGCTCAACTCGTCCGAAGAGTGTATCGAACCCGGGCAACGTTACCTGAACGAGCTTGCTGTCGCAAGGCGTATCTCCTTACGCAAGTCCAGCGTGCGACCTTATTCCCGAGAGCGGGACTCGCTGTTCCAATTCGCCCGAATGACATACCTCGCTTTACGATCGCGATTGTTAGGCGCATTCTGCCGGAGGTGTTCGCGTTACCTTTGACAAGGAGATACGTATAAAGTTTCGATTATGTACCATCTTTGCGTCGCGCTCGTCCCGACTCGATAAACCGATGTTTTTCTATTGAGATCGGTTTGTATACGGTTATTAATAGTTACGCTTCCACGCTATTCGTTTCTCGGGAACGCATTATAAGCAAAGAAGAACAACGCCTGTTCGAGAAATTACTTCCCTGAACGGAGTCACTCTCGAACTGAAATTCCGAACAAGTTGGAGTTTCCTTGTTGCTTTTAACTGTGAAACTTTGCGTAAAGTTACTTTAATTTTTCCAATGGAAAAAGAATTATCAGAAATATATCTGGCCATACGCTATCCTTTCGCAAAGGACAAATGGCAGAGAGCTATAAATGACGTCGTTTATACGAGAGAACGGCACTTTTTTTCTCTTTTTCTCTCTCTCTCTCTCTCTCTCTCTCTCTCTCTCTCTCTCTCTCTGTCTGTCTCTCTGTCTCTTTCATTAAACTCCCACGGAAACGAGTTACGTTTCCCCGCATTTACAAGCCGCTTTTCCCGGGGAACGGTAATCCAGATGTCGTCCCGTCGATCCCACGCACGCATTTTTTCAGCCATCGATAAAGGGCGATTGGCTACGTATATGTACGTGTTGTATTAATATTCATGGATTTTAGTTTCTGTATATTTCGAGAAAGCTTATGACACGCCGATCGGTTGATGCTTTTTCCCGAGAACACGCGTTAAACACGTTCGTCACGAGATAAAAAGAGGGAAAGAATCGACCAGGAAGGAAGGTTCTTCCGCCGTGAAATAGGAAGGCCAGCCTCCTACGCAGAACGAGCAGCGGGCGAGCGGAAATGAAGATTCCTTGAGATTTGAGGATAACATTTCCTTCCTGCGCGATCTCATGGCTGCGTGGGTGCGAGCTGCAGGTGCATCCCAAGATCGAACCTCAAAAGCGAAGGAACGGAGGGGTGGGCGTTCCAAATTTAAACCGTGGCGCGCCTTCTTGATCTCTCTCGAGAGGTTTGTGGTCAAGCCAACTACTCCGGGCCCTCAACCACTCCGGGTTAATGAGAAGGTCGCGACATCTGACCGAACGCCTTCCGTTATGACAGCTAGGCCGGAATATTTATGGGAAATTATGGATCATGGGAAAAAGAGAAGATCCCATGAGAAGAAGTGTAGCAAGACGTTCGCGTAAAATTTGCTCATCCGATGCTCGCGAATCTACGTGATCCCTTCGCTGTGCAAGAAATGCGAGCGAAGAAAATTACACTTCCAAGTGCGCGCGCGGATCGATTGCTAATTTACATATTTTACGATTTTCTTCTCGGTGTGCCTTCCGCGGGTTCTGCGATCGTCACGAAAATCGATGTAAAAGAAAGTGAGTGGAAAACTTGGAGAAATTTGCGGCTCTCGAAAATGTAGCGGTGGGCGAATGGGGAACATTGCGTAAGATATAAACCTCATCAAACTACCCATCATCGTTAAAGGATTAAAAGCAGGTAAGGGGTTCAAAGGCAGATCTGAAAGTTAGCGCGCTTCCTTTGTCAAATCGGTCACGCTACCTTCTCGAGATCCCGGACACGGACCGGAAGGCTGCAGATGTCGATGTGAAAGTTGGAAGGGTAAAAATTCCACATGCTCTCGAGTCCCATAACTTGATGTTACGTACGTATTCTATCGACGCGCGAAAATGTTTTAGCCTCAAGGACACCGACGTGGGCGTTCTAAATAATGTGTGTACTCTCTCTCTCTCTCTCTCTTTAGAAAAGGTAACACCAAGATCTCAGGTTTTGGTTCAAATCTCTTTTATAATATAAAATTGACGTTCTGACAAAATAATTTTTCATGACAAGTTTTCATAACAAAGATATTTGTCAAAATTAACTGATTAATTTGCGATAAACGCAAAGGTATTGTCTCGACGTTTTTTCGCGTGAGTCTCGTGAGTGGCAGCTGCTCACCGATCGATCGTTATCAATTTATTACAACAAATGCGCTCACACCATCGCGTATATCAAGTGGGAAGGGGTTTCGTGTCTGTAAAAAGAAGCATAGAATTGGGTTTATCGAATATCTAGACGCCGACACGAGAGCAACACACTTGAGACGCGCATGTAAACACACCGAAAATATCGCGGTAATATAGACCGGTGGCGCTTATCGAGTCATCTCGGTACGTTTTACGGGGATCTTGATTTATCAACGTCTGATGGTCTAACTTTGCTAAAGAGCTTTCATTGCATCTGCTGACTCGTACACGCATAATATACATCCGGAGTAATGCTAATGCGAAAGTTAGACGCGCAGCTGCGTCGTTGTAGGAGAACTCACCGCTGTTAGATCGCGTGTTCGCGATATATCGCGGCTATTGATGTAGGAACGGCTTCTCTCGTTTCTACCGCACATTATTTCTAGTGCACAGGCGCGTAATTATTTCGTGGATTTCAATTATATTTATTTTTAGTTTCCTAACGACAACAAGTATTCCTTCGTAAAAAAAAAAAAAAAAAATAATTTTGCGCATAATTTCGACGATCGGACCCAACTACCGGAATATAAAATTTATCGAAGCGTCACAACACAATCGTCGAAGACGCACCGATAACAAAATTGACGATTGATTTTAATTTCCTCGTCTATTAATCGTGCATTAATTCGCACGTTCCGTTCCGACCCGCTATACGATATTTCTCTCGAGCGCAAATTTTAGAAGACACAAGGTACGGCTACGACGAAAAGAAAGCAACAATTTCGAAGGACCTTGACTGCCGAGTCCAAGTACCCAACATTCAATGCTGTCTGAGGCACACCAATTGTAGAGGTAAAAGTTTACAAGACGTGCTGAAAACAACAACTCGTAAAACTTTAGCTATTTATTGATATCATTTGGCGACAGTCATCGCCAAATGGTCCCGAGCGATTTACTTGTAAAAGGCACGAAGGTCGCCTCTGGTGCGACCTATGATGATAGAATGCGCGCATTCTAATGTACGTACTCGCATATGTTTTTCTCCGTTTAAAATATGTTACGACGCGATACGCGTCGTAACATATTTTAAACAACGTTGGTACGACGGTATATCTTCATAGGCGAGATATTCTCAGGTGACCAAGCCAAACCCGTAACAAAGGATGAAATCCCCATTTCACATACATACAAAAGACGAGATGCAATTTTTTCTATAATATAAAATATAAAATGTAAAATATAAAATATAATATAAAATATATCCAATTTTTGACACACGAGGAACGGACTGTGCGTAATTTCGCTCGAGCACGTAACACAGCTCGTTTTAGAACAATTCCCACACGAGGGGGCCCTCTCCGCTCCCGCATGCGTATCCGACGGTATAGACGGTGTATCGGATCGCGTTGCGCGCGCCAGCCACACTTATGACGCGCGCGTATGCACGCACGTACACACGTCGGCCCGCGGTGTTTGCCCTTCTCTGTCAGATGATCCTCTATTGCACGCACGCCTTTGTGCCTTACCGCTACTACGGTCGATGCATGCTAACGCTCGGTCTCTTTCTCATCGACATCGTGTCGTGACGAACATCGGCATTATAATTTCGCGCGCAATCGCTGTAGCTTAAGCAAAAAAAGAGAGAGAGAGAGAGAGAGAGAGAGAAAATGAATGCCAATGATACGAGCAACGTTAAATTTCCACACGCTTTTCAAAACACCATTTTCTCACAAAATAACAACGCGCGTAGGAGTGTTTGAGAGATAGTGCGACTAGAAGATTGTGCGATGTGCAAATGAGCCCCTTCGAAGAGAAAGTGAGAAAGAGAAATGTGCGTACGCAGTCGCGAAATGAAAACAAATGTGTGAAAATGCAGATATGAAATCGCCTAAATTGGCGGCACGATACCGTCTGCACAGGATGTAATCCAAATTTAAGTGACTACGTCACAGAGGGTATATCCCGCAGACGGTGTGAATTCCCACACATCAACAGGTCTCAGGAGGACCGAGAGCCGAGGGCCAAGGGCTCCCCACTTCGTGGTACCCAATACCCCCACTGCGAGTAGTTCGCCCCACTCTCTACAAGTATACGAGCACATCGGCATGTGGTCTTCGAAATCGAAAACGTCAAACAGTTACCCTCGACACCCTAACCGAGACGCCATCGGTAACGGCAGACATCCCTAACGCAGTTGTCCAAGTGTCTCCGACAATGACCGAGGCACATCGTGCGAGTCAAGTTACAGTGCAAATCCCCGGTGCAAACACGCAAGTCTGATATGTCGTGAATGTGTAAAAGAAACATATAGCCGCTCTATTTACCGAAAATAATTAAACAAGGGCTATGCGACAGTGCGCACGTTCGTGCGAAGGAAACGGTGGTAATTGAGAATTCCGTTTAAATGGTGGATTATCACAGCTACACAATGTTGGACGAAGAGGAATTCAAGCCGCGATCGCAATCAGAAATGACAAAGGCGGAACTGAGAAAGGTAATTTTCATGAGCTTTTCATGAGAGATCTTTGTTGTTTCTCTGCCGCGGTGAGAAAAATTCCATATCGAGAGAGAGAGAGAGAGAGAGACAGAGAGAGAGAGAGAGAGAGAGAGAGAGAGAGAGAGAGAGAGAGAGAGAGAGAGAGAGAGAGAGAGAGAGAGAGAGAGAGAGAGAGAGAGAGAGAGAGAGAGGGAGAGGGAGAGGGAGAGGGAGAAAAGAATCTTATAACGCGCGCGTGTCGTCTGATACGTTTCGATACGAAATTAAAATAACGTAATATCGTAACTGAGAAATCACCGAGAAATGTATGGCTTTTGTGTGAATAAATGGCAAACTTGAATTCGACTATTTCAGAGCAACAAACCGATTATGGAAAAGCGACGGCGCGCTCGTATCAATCAAAGTCTCGATGAACTGAAGGCCCTCGTACTCGATGCTATGAAGAAAGACGTAAGTCACATTTCTAGCGATCTTCACGTAATAAGGTGGACGGATATTTCTCTCCGATATCGTGCATGTAGGAACATAATCGAACTCAAATCGACTATAATCAGTGACATCTTTCGCGCCTTTTATTCTTTTAATCGCGCCTACACCTTAACAGCAGTGAAATTCACGGCGAGCAAGGTTATGCGCCGGCGTATACACGAATACGTGACTATGTTTGCCTCGTGTAAAATCCACGTTGCCGGCGTGGCGCCAAAACGTGTGCGGCAGAAAAACATGACGGTTGCGCGTTGTTTATCTGGAGACATGATCCCGCTTCACGAGAGATAACGCTTAAAAATGTGCTACCTCCTAATCGCGCTCGAAGGACACTCAAGGAAAGTAAATTTTATACGCTGGAAATAAGAAAAGTGCGAAGAAGAAAAAAAGAAAGAAAAGAGAATGTTAGCAATTGTTCGTACGATTTAACTGTTCGTCATCGTCAATTTGTATGAAGATGAAAATACGCTCTCATTTTTGCACAAATCGAAGCTACGTCCAGGCTAAAACGAAATTATGCACTGAGAAATATGATTTTCACCGAAGGTAATACGAAGCACGACTGATAACTGCGTCGGTGGCGGAAGTTGTCATAACGGATGTATATTGCATATATTTGATCAGGCTGTCCATCGTGGACTCTCTTTTTTCCCTCCAGCATCCTCCGCGATAGGATTTGTTTTAGAGGATCGAATGCAACGAAATGGGGGCGGGGGGTGGAGGTTGATGTTTTATATTAGTATTTTAGGCGGCTCCGCGTCCGTGCGTGGGAACGGACGGAACCGGGACTCACATACTCGCGTAATCTTGTCCCGTAGATTTTACAATGGCACTCGAACCGGTTAAAAGAAGCGAAGAAGCGTCGTGTCTAAGAGCCTCCAATTATACCGCACCGTCCCAAAATCGATCCGCCGACCGGCGGACAGTTCTCGCGTTTCACCCCTCGTAAATCTCGCTGAATCAGCCGGTCGCGACCCGACGTGCAGCGTAATGTTTGATACTCGATTATGGAGATAATCGACGTACGTAAAAATTCATTTAAAAGCACGATACGAGTCGTAATTATTCATCAAATGCACTTGGACGCAATTGAATCGTTCGCTCGTTCGTTCATTCGCTCGCTCGCTCGCTCGCTCGCTCGCTTGTTCGTTCGTTCGTTCTTTCGTTCGTTCGTTCTTTCGTTCGTTCGTTCGTTCGTTCGCTCGCTCGTTCGTTCGTTCGTTCGTTCGTTCGTTCGTTCGTTCGTTCGTTCGTTCGTTCGTTCGTTCGTTCGTTCGTTCGTTCGTTCGTTCGTTCGTTCGTTCGTTCGTTCGTTCGTTCGTTCCTTCGTTCATTCGTTCGTTCGCTTGCCCGTTCGATCGAGCTTTAACCTATTTTTTTGCCAGTTGAACACTTTGTGCTACGTAATAGAATCCAACGAGATTGATTTCTCAAACAGGCGTATAACGAAACGAGAGAATCTCTCGCATCGTCTCGTATTCTCACCTCTCTCCCTTTCCTTCTCACTCTCTCTCTCTCTCTCTCACTCTCTCTCTCTCTCTCTCTCTCTCTCTCTCTCTCTCTCTCTCTCTCTCTCTCTCTGTCTCTCTCTGTCTCTCTCTGTCTCTCTCTCTCTCTCTCTCTCTCTCTCTCTCTCTCTCTCTCTCTCTCTCTCTCTCTCTCTGTCTCTTTCTCTCGTTCTCTCCTTCTTTCTTGCTCTCCTCTTCGTCCAGATGACTTCCGCTACCTGCTCGCTCCGGTGTGTCCGTCCCGTTCGACCATATGAAGCTGCTCGCTTTCGTGGGAACCTCGAAATAATTATTACGAAGAAAAAAGGACCTCATCTCAAGTTGCAGCCTCCCTTTGTTGACCGTATCATCTAGAAGGATCCAGCTCCCACCGCTCTGCGACGACGGTGCAGATCGGCGAAAAAGGGGGAAAGATGCGCAACGCCTCTGCTTCTTTCGATTTTCGTCAGCTCTTCGGCAGGTGCCATTTCTCCATTCTCGAAGCCGGGGGTGTCGAATTCACTCGCGGGAAAATCGATGCGTTTCTCTCGTTTCACACACACACACATAGAAACATGTCGTTCTCTTTACGTACGCTCTCTCGCGCACGTAATCATTGATCTTGTCGCTGTACGAGCGATCTCACCGTGTAATTTCCGATAATTGAAATTCTTCGATGACGTCGCGGGGCAGCCCCCGTAGAAACGCGATCCCACGTTGACTCCCACGCCCGGGCCAAACGTGACCGCAAAATTCACCATAAAATACGAACAGCGAGATGATCCGGTAGGACAAAGTCCGAAGAATAGAAAGCGCACAATGGCTCCTCGAGCGAAGGACAGCCGTGCCACTATTGAGTTATTGCTTGCTAAAGGGCTGGTGGGAGTTTCCGACGACATAAGCTCCATTCGCCAAGGGTCACGTCCATCATGATACCGGGGAAACCGCTTCGCAATACTTTCCAAAGTTGAATCGCATTTTCCCACGACGATTCGGCCGGAGCACTTACCCAAATAACGAGCTGCCGGGGCAAGTGTATCGTGCAAGATATCGAAAATCAACCTGCGCGCGATCTGTCCCGAGCCCGACATATCGATGGGAACATCGATCAATCGCGTCGCATAATGACAGGTTTTGTGAGAAGTAAACAGCCTCGGGCGATTTACGCGTGACTTGCACGAAGCGGTCTAATGATCGACCGCTTGCGCGCGCGCTTTTTCATGCAAAATGTCGAAGAATGCGAGCCGCGCGGCCTTAGGCCGACTATAAAGCAGGTCGCATTAGCTACCGTGACCGCTGCTCTGTTATTACGGTGGACTTCTAATTCATATCGAGTCAATTACGTGGGCGTGTCGCGTCATCGTAGATTTTCTCAATGGGTGGGATCGATAATCCTCTCTGGGGACGGGAAAGGATCGACTCGAAGGACGCGGCTATACGCGCGATTACTCGGCACCGAACAAGAAGAAATCCCAGCGTGGATTCTCCTTTACCTTCCATTGATCCTTCCTCACTCCCGTCCCGATAACTCTTGCGGATAATGCAGAGTTCTTCCGAGCCGACGCAGAGCCGAGACCACACAAACACAAACACACACACACACACACACACGTCACTTTTCCTTCACTGCCTTCTCGATCGAGTTCAAGGTCACCTTCGCTTCGCCCAATGTCCGCCCGATAAATCAGTGTAACGTGACATTTTGTTCTCGCATTGGCAATCATCAATCATTGATCGTCCGTCATGTTCGTTTATGTTGCAGCCGACCAGACACTCCAAACTGGAGAAAGCCGATATCCTCGAGATGGCCGTGAAGCATATACAAACGGTGCACCGGCAGCAATTGAGCGCGGCCATCGCGACCGATCCAGCGGTGCTGACTAAATTCCGTTCTGGATTTTCCGAATGTGCTACTGAAGTATCGCGGTACGTCAGCCAGCTCGAGAACGTCGATCCTCTCGTCAAGCAACGACTGGTATCACACTTGAACAGTTGCGTGAGCAATCTCCAGCAAATGGCGCCATTCTACAGCCACTACGTGCCCTACATGCCGGAACGTCTCTATCCGGAAGTAAAGGTTGGTTTCCAGAGCGATTTCCAGAATGGGGATGAGAATAACAACGGCAGCGCGAGGATACAGATACCGAACGGGGTGCAGCTGATTCCCAGCCGGCTGCCGACGGGCGAACTGGCGCTCTTGGTGCCGCAATCCGCCAACATCTCCGCGAATTTTCCCTTCTTCCCGCCGGCAGCCGACACGTCCGCGAGAATCGGTCAATCGTCGGCTTTCACCGCGGTCCAAAGGCCGCACAGCCCGTTGCCGAGCCCTTCGACCTCCACGTCGAGCTACGGCGACGAGAGCCATCATTCCGAGCATTATCCGCAATCACTGTCGCCCAATCATCATCATCATCAGCCGCAGCGTCGCTTCAAGTTACCCGAGCAGAGTCCCGCGTCGTCTTCCAAGAGCTTCTCCTCGCCGGAGACCCAGAAGCCACAAATCAGCTCCACCAGCGACCGAAAGTCACCGATTACATTCGTCGAGTCTAAAGCCGCGGACAATAACGTCGCGAGCGTCAAGAAGGACCCGACGGAGGAGCCGGCGACTCGCGTAAACAGCCTCGCAGCAACTCACAGTCTGCGGCAACCTCTTTCGGTGATTACGGACAAAATTACGTACAATCGCGTCCCGAACGCTTCAGCGTTGCCACAGCTAGACGATTTGAGGAAACGTCAATCTGACGGATTTTTGGCCGTTTCAAATAAGAAACCGCGATACCAAGAGGCCACCAGTTCAACCAGCTCCTCCTCGGCGTTGAGCAACGCCGATGTGCTACAAAATTCAAACGAGCAGGCCGCTGCGGCGGAAGCGGATCGGGAAAGCCGCGACCGCCCGGTTACACAGGATTCTAATTTGAATTCTGACAAATTTTCGATGAGTTTGGCGGGTCCTTCCGGTGCGAACGGTGATATGTGGAGGCCTTGGTGATGATCGACAGGCTGTGATCACCGTAAAAATCAAATACCGCCAATACCTTAAGACTGACTGATTTGTTCGAAAACATTCAATAAAAAGGAAAGTAGTAATTAAACAGATTTGCCTTGATTTCTAATCGTTTGAGATGTTTGAATCGCGGCACGATTCACCCGGCGACGATGTGCTGCCACGTAGTTGCATTATTCTGTTTCGTCACTCGCTGACAATCTAACGGTAACGGTAATCGCAGGATATGGGGGGATGGCTTGCGTGATATGCATCGTATTTGTAGAAGGAGCCACGCTTTCTGCGAGCGACTCATTGAGAGATTGTTTATCGAGGATGAATGAGATTACACCCAGAGGATACCGAGGATACCGAGAATACGCCGAGCAAGCATAAAATAGGAATTATTCGAATACGATTTCGTATGAAATCATGCAAGAAACTCCGGAGAAGAATACAGTTCCACGGGCGAGATTGTTATCGTGCTTCTTGGCGCGCACCGTATTGTATCACTGTGTCCGCTCGTCATTCTACGAATACTCCTAAGCTTTAAGTAGGCTAAACAACATTTGAATAAACCTGCGACGAGCCGATGAATTGTGAATATTCTTGTAAATATTTCTACTCTTATTTAATCGGCTAAATGCCCTCCTCGTACCTAATAATTTAACGTTCAATTGTACCACGAGTCTCAACATTACACGAGTGGTGATTTCTCAACGATTCACAATGGTCAGTATTGTCAATTAAGATAGCATTAAGAGTTTGTGATAATGAAAAAAAAAAGAAGTGTACGAAATAGAATTCCTACGAAAGACGCAATGTTTGTTATTTGTCTTTGATTGATCTTACATGTATACGTTCATTGACAAAATAAATAAACTTGCAGAATGCAAACTGCTCACGCAGCCGATACACTCCCTCCCGTCTCGCAAAAAGAAAAAAGAAAAAGGAAAGAGAAGAAAGAAGAAAAAAAAAAAGAAAAAGGAGAACGGTCCCCACATATTCTACCGATATATTCCACGGTCTCGTAAAAGCACGGAAATTTTCCTCGCTGAGAGAGCCATCGGAGGCGCTTTTACCCTTTTAAGAAGCGTTAAACGCGCTCCGATTCATAAACTGGAACTTATTCTTTCCTTTTTTGCCGATAAAGGAGCAAAAAGCTGCGGAGAATGAGAATTTCAACCACCTGTTACACCGCAAAACCACCCCCGTTCTCATCGACTGAATGCTTAAACTGATTTATCGACAGAAATCGCGAACTTTGTTAAACTCTCTTAATCTTATTCTCGGTACGTGTGCTTGCGTGTTTTCGTTCAAATTCTTGGCAATTGTGAGAACAATAATCGAGCTTGTCAATTACACGATACACGACCGTGATGTGCGCGTACGTGCGTGCAGCAAGGAGAGTATGCGAGAGATTATTTACGCGTGCATCCGGGCGATTTGACGAATTATTGCAAATTTCACATTTGCTTTATCTGGTTGATCTAAATAGTCATAAATATGTAGTGGTCGTTATGACGTGGCGTTATTTACAATCATTTTTAACATATCGAAATCCTATACAAGTTCGAGCAGAGACGGCGAGATGGCGACACGTATGTTCGGGATTAAAAATTTTCGCTGACGAGTCCGATTGACACAAAGGACATTTACAATATTATGATTTTATAAACATTACAGAGTTGCAGAGAGAGAGAGAGAGAGTATTTAACGCGATATTCGTCCGTTCATTATGCAAAATTATGTGGTTCCTACACTACCGTGTATCGATTTCAGGTCAAAATGAAGGGAGAAAGAGAAAGGACAGAGAAAGAAAGAGATGAACTCTATCAACAAAAGAAGAAAAAGAGAAACGAAATGAAAATAAAAATTCATTCGCACACACACACACACACACACACACACACACACACACACACACACATGCAAAATAATAATAAATGAATATGTAATCATGTGTATATGTTTTTGCGGCGGTAGTGTAAATGTTATCTTTGCGAATGGTGACGATTAATTATAGCGGCGGCAGAATATTTCGCGCAAATTTGAGCAAAGGTGAAATCCAAGGATCCCTTGCTCGGAAAATGTCATATTCGCCTGTAAACGCGAGAGACAGAACGATTATAAACGGACGAGGAATTTCCGCCTGCACAGCTCCTCCGCGTGGCTTTCTTTCTTCGATAGTCGCCGGTACGGCGTTTTACTGGCGCGAGGCATCGAAGTCGCCGCCGATTCGTCTGCCTAAATTCGGGCATAATGTCACCCACCCCTATCCTGAGCTTTTCGATATTCACGTGTACAAGCGCGTACCGCGACCTCGGTATAGTGTGTGTGTGTGTGTGTCTATAGATCCTGTGACTGTGAGTAACTTCTGTGCGCTATATCACGAGTATAAATAATTACTCCGGCGCACAGCAATTACTATAAGTTATGGCGCAGCCGCTACAATTTGCAATGTCAAGACATAAACACTGCTACCGCTTACATTTGAATACATTAAAGCGATGGGAGCCCCTGATTGGCCGTCGGGGAGTGGTGCGGGTACCCTGTATCGGTGCGTGAGCTACGATCTGGTTGACGATTTTTATTGCGGAAACGATCATCTCTCGCGGAGTTTCTCCGGACCGCGCGCGCGGTCGCTGCCGTTGCTATCGCCGTACGTTTGCAGTCGCAGTCGCTTGATGGATCCCCATTCCCCATTCCCGATCAGCCGCTCGTTCGCGAATGCTCGCCGCTGGGATTCGCGATTTTCCATCGACCCTGAAGTATTTACGAGACGACGCTCCAGATAAGCTCGCCCATCGCCGATTCCTCCTTCGGCCGATCGTTCGAACTACGACGATACTCCGCTCCGGAGGATGAATTGCTCGATTTACAGTGTTCGATGTAGATTGACTCGCGACTTCCGAATTTGGACGGTTCTCTCGCGAGAAGAAGCCGCGCGCACCGCGATGGACGATGGACACGATCTCGCGGTCCACCGAGGGACCGAGGATCTTTTGCCGAGAGTGGTGGTCCAATCGAGAGAGAGAGAGAGCGCGAGAGAGAGAGAGAGAGAGAGAGAGAGAGAGAAAGCGGCGGGATCAGATGGCGATTTTTGGCGAAAAAGGTCGACGATAGAGACATGATAGAGATTTAATATTCCAAGTTGTGCATGCGCGGCACACAGAGGCTGCGTACGGCAGAGCCGGGAGGAGATTGCGGAAATTAGAGGCGCGCATCGGCCGTGCTTATCGACGCAGGCTTATCATCGCCACGTCGGCAGAAATGGATGGAAATCTATATAGCTCGCGTACGCGAGCGTGCAACGTTGACGACGAAAAACAGTCGGCGAACAGTCAGGCGGAGGACACGCGAGTTGCGACAACAACGACGGCGGCGACGACGGCGGCGGCGGCGGGCGGCGGCGGCGGCGGCGGAGGCGGCGGAGGCGGCGGCAGAACGGAAAAGGGGCGGCAGAGAAACCTAGTCGCCGCGCGCGGCGATCGGCTCCATTTTCTACCCCATTACCAGAATCAAGTCCGAATCCGGCCGGGCGCAAGCCGCGATCCTTGCTGGCGAGAATTCATCCATCGATCGGGCCGAAAAAACGATCGTCGAAAGCCAACCCGCGAGCACCAGGCTGTTTCCGTTGTGGTATGCGACCAGACGCGAGTGTGTGCCTCCGGCGGCGGCGGATATAGCAATCGCCGAGTGTTTTTCGCGTAGTTGTATTTCGATGGGCATCCATCCGATCGCGAAAGAGAGAGAAACGGCGCCGGGTGCCGCGGCTCGCGAAGGGCACGCGGGGGGTACCCGAGGGGACGGCTACGGGAAGGCTGGCGGACGGACGGACGGACGGACGGGCGGGCGGAGGGGGAGGGGGAGGGGGGGGAGAAGAGGAGGATCAGCCGAGAAGGGCAGGCAGGGGGGCTGTGCACGGTGGTGGCGGAGGTTCCGTCCGTTCCGCGCGCGTATGTGCGGCCGCCAGGCCATTTGCCTCTGCGGTCTCTTGATTCCTAGCGACTAAATTTTCATCTGTACTCATTCAAGTTTTAATGTGTTTTTGCGGCATCAGTCATTCAAACTTAATCAACAACCGGTTACACGTCGGTGCGCGAGCGGCGCGACCACACACGCGAGCGCGCGGAGCCGCCGTCGTCGGTGCGCGCGCGTACGCGCGGAGCGCGCCCTCGTGGTGTGATTGCCGCTCCCTCCGTGTGTACGTGTGTGTGTGTGTGTGTACGTGTGTGTGTGTGTGTGCGCGCGCGTGTGTGTGTGTGTGTGTGTGCGCGGGCGCGACGGAATATTGGTCGGGCGCACTGTGACGAGAGCGTATTAATTATAACTCTGGTCAGAGGAACGTCAAGAGATGCTTTCGCAGATACCTACGATAAATTGTCGGTTTACCAGCAAATCTCATTTCCAAACCCCGCCATTTTTCCGCTCGTTTATCCACGCCCATCGCGGGAGAGAGCACCGCGCGTTCGCTCTCGCTCGGCCGACGTCGCGGTATTCCCTTCCTTTCACGTGTGTACACGTGTGTATATCCCGGCCGGCCGGTGCGCGACTGTCGCGTGCACAAGAGTGCGATGACAGCGGAAGGGAGAGCGTTTTTACCCAATAAAGTTGGTGAGCGTAATAGGAATGTCGGCATTAACGAGTTCATTCGGAGCTTATCGGCCACTGCCGGCTTGCGACGTGTCGCGATAAGAATTTATTCATTTTGAAATCCGCGGGATATATCTTGCGTGTGTGTTTTTTTCCGCGCGACTGTTAAGCTCACGTCGTCGCTCGCGTCGCGTCGCGTCGCGTCGCGTCGCGTCGCGTCGGGCCGCTGGAAATTATCGCGACGTCGCGAGGGAGCTCGAATCTGTGTGTCGCGCGCTGGACTAGGTCGAAATGTGTGCTGTGACGTTAGACGCGCCGCGCCGGGTGATTGCGAGACGGGAAAATTGATCATGCGCGAATATGCAGGAGAGATGAGGAAACTTTTTCTTTCTGTTAATTTGTCGCGATACATGCCGCGTGTACTGCCGCGCTGCTGGCTACTGCTTTGTGAGAGAGATTCCTCTCGCTGAGAGAAAGAAAGGCGCCGCGCGCGCACTCGATTGTGGCGCAACTGAGCAACTTGGTAAATCCCATAAATCTCGAATTGAAACATCCCACCGCGTCGCGATTGACGTTTTTGAACGTGTCGCTAACGCGGCCGGCCGCCCGGACGAAAAGAAAGCGCCAAGTTAAATCGCGACTAATTGGCCAATTTCCAAACCTCCTTCGCCAGTCTCGATTACCAAGTTTTGTGCCGGCGCACGGTGCCGAATTAGCTAAGCGTAGCGGAGAAGCGTCGGTGCAAGCAGCCCGAGAGACATTTATTTGGCTGTCGCTGAAGCGGTCGGAAGTTCCGCCAGCGTGGTGCCGAGCGAGAGCGAGCGTGCGAGCGAGCGAGCGAGCGAGCGAGATGTACTATACTCCTAGCGGAAAACGGCACACCCGACAGAGAAGGATGCATCGGCGTTAACCTCGAGGAGAGCGGGACAGAAGGGTCGGCTGATGGCCCGGAGAAAAAGGGAGAAAGAAGAACGAAGGGGACACGGAGGAGAAAGAAAGGAAGATAAAGAGATTCATTCACCGCAAAACTCGAAAGAGGAACGAGGATGAGGCAAAGGTGTTGAAGCGCGACCAAGGGAAAGGAGAAGGAAGGGAAAGGAAAACAGAGTGGGAACGTAAAGCGCGAGCAGGCCAGTGAGAGAACATGTTTGTGTGTGTGTGTGTGTGTGTGTATGTGTGGGTGTGCGCGCACCCACGTGTATACGCGCGTGCACACGGTCGAAGGGGTGCGCGCGTGGACGCGAGCGAGAGAGGAGACGCCAGGCGGAAGAGGGACAGGTGCGAGAGGTCCGGAGAGCAGGAGGAACGAGCATGTTTTATTAAGTGCGTCGCGCGT